TTTTTTTTTTTTTTTTTTTTTTTTTGAACTGTTTTTGTTAACATTTTAGTGCTTGAACTGGCTTCATAACTTTCATCTTTCCTCATTCTAGTTTTGTCCAGTTTTTATAGTTCGTTCTGAGGACAGATTTTAGCTTTTTTTTTTTAGGGATGGGCTTTATGCCCGACTATGTTGTTTATCACGAGTTGATAATGACAGCGAAAGAATACATGCAGTGCGTGACATCTGTTGATGCTGTTTGGCTTGCAGAACTGGGGCCGATGTTCTACTCTGTAAAGGAAGCTGGGTCCACTAGTTTAGAGAAAAGGCAACAGAGTATGAGGGATGCTAGAAATATGGAAGAAGAAATGAAGAAGGTATTTTAATTTTTCTTTGTGTAATGATCTTTTTATGCTTTTCTTTCTAAGGATTCGTCATATTCTATTTTCAGGTTTTTTCTAGTCGTATTTCTTGTTTTAGGCAAGCTTGGAATTATCTGAAAGACGTTTGGCTGAAGAAAAGAAGTGTATCAGGTCCTCCCGCATAGTTGAGCCTGGACGGCCTCCTGGTTCAGTAAGGTCTTCTGCCCGTTATGGCATGTAAATCAAAATGACGGTTTATATTTTGACAGTTTTTTCCTTAGATGATAAATATTGTTTTTTTTTTCAAGACTTTGGATTTTTCAAGTTTCTGCTGCCTCATGTTTTCTTCATAGACTGGATTCAAAGGTTTATCATTTTAATTTTTGGTCTCATTTTGCCAAATTTTTACTGGCTTTCATGAATGTGTATGTACATAGTTGTTGCTGTTTCAATATGACAATCAATGCCTGTAGTGATTTTCGGTTATACTATTAAACGGTTTATCTGTTTCGTGAAACTTTTATTAATAAGTGCGCCAAGGTGCTTTCGTAAGTGCTTTCACTTTACATTAATTTTGCTTCTCGCATCTTTTTCACATTTGGCCCAGAAAGTTTAATGGTTGGTAAATTTCAGTTTTTTTCATGTAAACTTCTTCGTTTTAAATTTACAGAAATTCTTACGTAATATATCGACAGAGGGCCAACCATGTAAAAGAGTTATGTTTTTCTTCTTTCTTGTGCTGTTTGTTCTATGGTAGTTTAGACATGGGGTTCATTGGGAAGTTACGTTAGCTGGATTTCCTTTTTAAATAACAAAGTTATGCAAAATTCCAGAGTTGATTTAGTGGGACGGAGACAGACATGTGTTTGAAGTCCTGAAACTATTCATTCAGAAAGCTTGTTTGGAACCAGTGGTTGCTCTATGGCATTAATATAGTTATACCAAGGTTTTGCAGGTTGTTTCTAACCAGGTGAGCTGCTAGGGGAGTAGCAGTGATTAATAAATATTTAACAGATTTGTTGCTTTGTTCTCTCTGAAATTTGTATGTGCTTTAAAATCGTGCACTTTGAAGTTTCTTGTTTTAAAGGAAAGGTCGTGCATACCGTCATGGATCTGATGCCCACAGAAATCCTCTCCAGTATTTTGCTCTCTTTGAAAGGCTCGGATCGCTTAAGAGCTTCATTTACATGTCGGCGTTGGTTAGCTTTAATGTCAAGTTCGCTACCGCGGTCCATTCAGCTATGTGTTTATTTGGACCCAACATCTTGCCATGCGCACCTTTCTCATTCTTTGGATATGGAAACTACTATTACTATCTGCATTTGTGAGGAACATGTTAGGACACATGCAGTCCTTCTGAGCTATTTGTTCAGTTGCATAGCAAATGATATTCGCTCTCTTGTTATTGACGATGACCTGATAGTCAGGGTGAATTCTTATCTGTATCAACTTTATTTGATTTTATCATGGATTTCTTTGTTTCGTAGTCTTTGATTAGAGTTTCTTTGAGTTTTTGTTTACATTTTTTTGCAAATTCTTCAACTATACTTTACTGTTTATTCTCAGGAGAAAGTTCCAGAAAAGTTAACCGATGGTGTATTTCATTGTGTTTTATTAGAAGCACCGACTAAGATAGAACACTTAATAATTCGAGGAGTTGATCTGTCGTCAGTACGAGCCTGGACTTTTGGACTTTTGGCTAAATTTGATGGTTTGAAGGAGTTTTCTCTGATTGACTGTAATCTTCCAAGCTCGGAGTCACTGCTGCTTCGCGTTATGGCGCATTCTTACGAAACTTTAGTTTCAGTTTCAGTTACTAATTCTGACCAGGTTAGGATGTGTCGAACTCAGAAATTTGTCTTGATTAAGATTTAAAAAAAGTTCAAAACCTGAATTTTTCTTTATTTTTTTACTTTTTTTTTCTTGTAGAAGGGGCATCCTCGTAACTTATAGATTTTGGAGCTTTTGTCGTAACGAAAGTTTTCAAAAATTTTCTCTTTTTTTTATCTAAATTTATGTTTTTGGACTCATCTGAAATGCCGTTTAGCTTTTGATTAGCGGTAGTGATATTAAGGTTCATTCAGCATCGTATCAGAATCTTTGGAACGAAACAGCTTTTTTTATTCCCCTGTTTGCTTTTTTATTTATTAATTTTTATTTTAGATTACTGATAAATTTGGGTCGGTAATTGCACGACGATGTCCTCTAATTGACAAAGTTGACCTTAGCCGCTGCAAGAATGTTACTGCGTTAACGATGGTTGCATTTTGTGAGACAGCTAGTTACAGGACTACAGAAATGGTTTTCATTGGTTTATGTGGCACTAGTTTTGACTACAAAAAGGTTGCATTTTTGATTTTTAAAATAGGTTTTATTGTTTCCAATAATAAAGGATTTGAGCGTGCACTATTATAAAGCCCGAAATCACCTCTTTTTAGCTGCAGTCTTACCTCGAGTCACCACTCATGATTGGCGGGTCATCTTGGAAAGTATCAAGCATGAAACTGCAAATAGGATACGAACGAAATACTGTTTGCCTCGAAAACAAGCTGCAACGAAATTTATTAATTTTAGCTTTTGTTTAAGTTAGTAATTCAAGATGTACATTAAAATTCTTTTATATGAATAATTTTTGTTTTTGTTTTATTATGTAAATTTTAAGCCGATTTATGATTTGTAACCTAGTGCAATGCCATCATTTTAAGGTTCTTTATAATCCTTTAGCGAAATACTGCTTATTTAGAAAGTTCTGAAGAGTGTGATTATATGTTTGTTCGAGTTAAAGCTTCTTATTGTAGGTGATTTTTTTCCCATGATCTTATTTACCTCATTTCCCCCTATCTCACATCGCTTCCGAAGCCGATTTTTCCTTCATTTGTTGATTAAGTTCAGATTTTAAACTTCTAATTTGGCTGTAATAAATTAGTAAAGGACTGGTTCTTGTAATTTTTTATTTTTCGTCGTTGTTTAGCGTACGAAGCTCCATGCATTGTAATTGTAGTCAAAAGACAGCCGGTGCAAATCCTTATTTCCTTTCGCGATTGCTGTAATTTATTGGGTGGGAACCTATTTTCTTTTTGCTCCGACTGTAATTACTGGTAGCAGTCCAATAAAAGGTCTTCTGCCCTAACTGTTAATCGTTCTGCTTTGAAAGCGTTGTCTCATTCTTTCTTATTTTTGTTGATGTGTCACTGTTACTGCTAGATTTCTTGGCCGCAAATGTTTTTTTCCTGCATGTTAATTGAAACGCATCTTTTGGCACTCTTGGTGGACTTGGTATTGTTTTGGGATTTCGAACGAGGAAGTCCTCTGGAAGTTGTTCACTATGGTGTTGTGTTTTGATTTTGGTGATTGACGGTTGAGCAGCTCATCTGGTTATCGTCCCCAGCTCCACAGTCACGGCCGTTTTTCACATGTTTCGCTTTGGTTTTTAGTACAGGCCAAGAGTCGTGCACTTGGCAAAATCCCAGTTGAAGGAGATGATTTACTAAATTTAGAACTCCGTCACGTACAGCTTTGGTAAGGGTGTCAGGGTTTCACAGAAATAGTGGTATTCAGATTTTCGTTCATTAAAGTTTTGGTCTTTTCTGGACGCTCGACGAGTTTTCTATTTATAGTATAGAGTAACCCATTGCGTTATGACGGTTCCTGAATTTGGACACGACGACCGAAGAAATTTACAAGTGTTTAAATTATAACCCGTAGACAATATGAATTGTTCGGAATCTCTTCGCTCTCTGAGCTCAATCATCATTATTATGAGTTTGTGGGTCTGGTTTCTGTTTATTTGCCATCTGTATAAAAATCGTAGTTAACATTTTTTTTAAAGGCTTTTTTGCATCTATTCCCTGTTTTTTTACTAGCCGCTATTGTATGACTGGCTTTTAAGCTCGGTTTAGTGCATTTGAATAGCGGGTCTGTATTAAGGCCATTTGTCGGGACTGATACGATAAAAAGTGATGAGTATAAGAAAATGGACACAAAAGAAACTCGTCATTTCAAAGAACATGATACATAGGTACGGACTGAAGAAGTGGGATTGTTCAGCGATTTTTGAAGTAAGCAACTTTCAGGTCAGGCTGTAACAGTACGATTCGAGAATTTTCTGCATTTCTTCTAGTGCTCATGCTATGTTTAGATTTGTGGGAATTATTGCTTGTTTCTGAGTTGAAAAACGGGCTATTTTGTTTGACATGTTTTGAAAATTTTTGTGAATAGTAGGCATCTTTGAATGCTTTTTTTTTTGATTTTTGAAGAAATAATTGAGGAACGTATGTATAGTATGTCAGACATCTTTCAACTTACGGATCAGGAATACTTTTTGAAGAGGTATCTTCAGAGACAAGTATGGCAGTTGAGCATTCTGGAGTTTTTGAAATCAAATATAATTCCAGGACCAAAAAAAAACGACCAGTTGGAATTTGGTCAGTGGCGTAGTCCTTTTCATGTTATGAACTGCACAAACACTAATCAGTTAGCCTGCTTCACAGAATTTTACCGTTTAGTTACCTGGTTATCTTTGGTGCTTTTTTGAGTACTTCTTGTGTTTGCGTTTTGTTATTTACAGAAAACAGATAAATCTCCTCACTATCACCTAGGTAACAGCTATAAACTGAAGTCGTTGTTTTTATTTTTTATTTTTTTTTGAAACTTGTTTTGTATTATTTTTTTGGTTCCTCAAGGAACACTGGCAATTAGTTATTGCAGTTGAATTGCCGGTATCTATATGCAGGTATTCAATATGACCGCGTAGTGTAGTTTGGGAAGGTGGGCTGCTATCTAAGATTGCTATTTTTGATAAAGTAATAAAGATACTGAACGACTTTTAGCACCATTTTTTGTCGTCATTGCTGCTGAGAAAATGTCAAAGTTTTAGTAGCTTAGGTTCTGGAGATGCTCAGTATTTGTGTGCAATATTATCATGGACTTATACAGAATTTCTCAAAAGAAACAATCTGTCTTTTCTCTTTTTTTTCGTTTATTTAACTTTAGCAGAAGTGCAAGCGAGATGAATTTTTAGTTTTTGGAGTGTTTATGTTTTTTGAAGAGTTTTACAGTTCAAGATGTATACGTATAGCTTTTTTTTAATTGTAAAACAAGAAGTTGAAATGAAGTAAATTTTGAGAACATTTTTAACAAAGAAAACTTGCAGCAATTTTTTCAAACTTCAAAAATTAAATATTAATTTAGTCCTATTTTTTATGCGTAATATCGAGGTTTCAAGTTTAATACCATTAATATGAATTCTTCGGCGCTGTTTACAGTGAAGATTTATATTTTTGTGTCTATATCCTTCTTTTTTTTTGCATATTGAGATTTGTAACTATTTCAATGATGCTTTCAAAGAAACTGAAGCTCTAGCTTTCTTTGTTTATATTAAGCTCGTCTTAGGATGACAGTTAAAAATTTTAACTGGACAAGAAAAATGGCTTTTCAGTTTAAATTTAAATACACAGAAAACTAAAATGGCTTGAAAGAAACCAGAAGATCATGGAAATGACTTATCTTTGCATGTTTATTAATCGTTACGCTTTATTGGGAACGTTTCGTGGAGTATGGATTCTTTGAAAAATTTGTTTGAACAGATGGACAGGATATACTTGAATTAGGCAAGGAAATCTACCTAATAAATTCTAAGTAATTCTACAGAACGTTGGCACACAATTTTTAAATGCTCAGAAAACGGTGCTTATTGTTAGTTCTGCTCCTACAAACAACAATATCAGCCAAGGATTATTTCATGTTTTTTTTCAAATATGTGAAACTTTGATATATGGTCATAAAAATTTTGCAATTTAAAAGACGGTTTTCAAGCCGATATAATTGGACACCTGCATATCTTATAATTTGATTTTTGCTGAGGACAAGTTTTGTAAAGGCTTAGGCATATTCTGGTACATTAATAATTGTTAAACATTAGCGAGCCATTAGCTTTTGAGGAGTAAATTTTGTTCCTTATGGGTTATTCAAAAGCTTCTATTGTTTAAACACTTCTTAAAGTTGTGCAACGAAGGATTTTAAGGACCAGTTACCTCCAATGTTGCTACAGATCTAACTTTTAATTGTAGTATAGCTTTGTTTCACATTTCAACAGTAAAGTATGTAGTTTCATTTAGCTTATATGGAGAAGAAGTGGGACGCTGTTGTACTGACAGCCAGCGATGTTGCGCAAAAAAAAGCGTTTGAGATGCAGCTTGAAATGCTCCCACGTTTGCAAGATTATGCAGAGAAATATTTTGTTTACGAGGATACGCCTGCAGGTGTACGAATTGGTAAGTGTATTTAGAATACTTGAGAGGCCAGCTTCTCATTCTTTGATAAGTTCAGTGATTCTGTACGAATCTCACTGGAAAAGGAGATACAACTCTGAAGTTTAATTTTCCAAATTTTTTACAGAGAAACAAAAAATTTTGTAAAGAATTTTTTACGAAAGTACTGGCTTGGGATTTATTTTATAGGAAGTTAAACTAGTTTCACTTCATATTCTTTTTTGTGGCTTACGAATTCGATGAGTTGCTAATATGAGACTCGTCGTTGTTTGTTTTGATTTAGTTATTTTTTGTTATTCTTTCACAGAAAATATTTCTTCCAATTCTAGAAATCTATCTGCTGTAATTTGTTTCCACTTCAATTCTAAATGCTTTAATTATTGATAATTACATTGGAACAGAAGCTCTCTTGTTACTGTGCTGCGGATTCACTGAAGTAATTTAATAATTTATTAAAATTATGTACAGTGAGTAAAGCTGCAGTTTATGGAATAACGTTATTTAATTTCGGACTGTGATTTCTCATAAAGAAAGCGCGTAAGAAATTTAAGATACTTTTTTTGGGAAGGCTTTTTTGCATTTGTAGTCATTAGGCTGACCACAAAGTTAATTCAGCTTTTAAAAAAGTCTCAAAAATAGGGATTGAAAATGGCACGCTGTGACGTTTCTGTTGTAAACCATTGTAACTCAGCTGCACTTTACTTTGACGAAAGGTTTTGTTTTTTGACTTATCAGTTTCATTGCATACTTTTTAAATATGTTAAACTTTATTTGCTGCATCAGACAGAACCTAATAAATCGTTGATTTAATTTTTTCCTAAATATCACTACTTAGTCATATGGCGAGCACATATTTCGAAGTTTGAAGGGGTGTTTAATACATTTAGAGCAAATACTTTAGCACATCTAAGACTGCAATAAGCTATTGCTTGCAACAGTTTTTGTTATCGTATGCTGTAATTAAGCATAAATTTTATTTAGGCTCGGGAGGCTCAACAATTTTGGCACTTAATCGATTAACTGATTATTATAAAAAGGAATTTTCAATAAAGAAAATTTTAATAATTCACAGCGGTGGCTTGAGCCAAAGGTTACCTGTTGCTTCAGCATTGGGCAAAGTCTTTTTATTGTTACCTGGCGAAAAAACGATGCTGGAAATGAAACTGATATTTTACAGGTAAAGTTTTTTTATCTGTATATGTACTAGGCTGTATATATTCTAGTATGTACTAGTATAAAGATCGCTTAGGCTGTACACCTAGATAGTAATGAAGCTTAACATTACTTCCAGAATTCTTTTGAACGTTATTTATTACTTGATGTTAAATTATTTACATTTTATGGTTCTGTTGGAATTCCACTTTTTCAATTTTTAGACCAATTCTGCATGCCATGCTTGCTGGTGTAGTAATTTCCGCGTCTGACACCCTTGAATTCATTCCGGAAAATATCGGTAGCATTATCCCTGGTGAGGTAACACTGTTTGCCCACCCGTCAAGTATAAAAGTGGCTATGGAACATGGCGTTTACGTTTTAAAAGATGGAAGTTTGGAGACTGTTCTTCAAAAACCCACTTTAGAAGAGCTAAAAGAAAGTGGTGCTTTGAGCCCGAATTCTGACCTGCCAATTTCAGGTTTACAAATTTTTTCGGGTTTAGAAATTAGGCTGCAGTTTTAAAAAAAGTGTTATTTAAAACAGTGCGGGATTAAAGCAAGCTACTCATTTTAGTAACTAGTAAATTCTTCTGTGACGTCAGTCTTATTCTCGATTAATGTATTGCAGAGGATCTTTACGGAGCACACGAGCTCGAGGGCGATGAACATGCTTTAACAGACAGCTTCTTTGTTCTATCATCTGCCATTGCATTGCATCTTGCATCTTTAAAAGTTCATGAACCGTTCGATTGCGAGACTTGTTGTTATGGGGATTTTCTTCGAGCATTAGGGACTTTTCCTCAGACCAAGTATTTGGAAACCCACGAGCCTCTGGCTACCTGGAGACAGCGCTTCGCTTCAATCTTCAGGTATTTCGGACTTGTTTGTTCAATACATAATATTCTGCATTCTTCCTGTTGGAATCAGTACTTTTTTTAGGGGACTCTCTTGCCGAGTAGTTGTATTGCCACAAAACTCATTTTTCCATTTTGGAACTCCTCAAGAAATATTTAAGCATTTGATTCCTAATTCAGTGTTTTGTCGGCGCTTCGGAATTCCCACCCAGCATTACTTGTTATCTTCAATCACTGACGATTCTAAGGTACTTTAGCAAATTTCACTCAAGGAACAGAACATTGATGCTGAACACATTCATACACACACTAAAACTTTACTTCAACCAACTGAAAAATACACTATTTTTTAAGAAAGCTGGTACACAATTTTATACAATTTATGTAATTGCTCTGTAAAATTCATACCTTTAGATTGGAGAAACTTCTTTTGCTGAATGGTCCTATTTTCCCTCAGGAGTTTCTGTTGGAGACAAAAGCCTCATCAGTGATCTTTCTAGCTTAGAGTACGTTGAGTTCCCTCCCAGCATCATGGCAATGACGTTAATCTTAATTGGTAGTAATGGTTCCTCAGAGTACGTAACTGCCATTTTTAGTACAGACGACGATATTAAAGTTAAAAAGAATACACTGAAATGGTTCAAGGAGGAACTGCACTATGAAAAGCCAACAAGCTTATGGGAGGCAAAAATTTTTAAAGTTTGTTCCTCACCAGAGGAGTCTTTAAAAGCCACTTTGCTATCAGTGAAAGATGGTCTAAACAGTGATAGTTGTATTAGTTTTTCTGAAGCGCTGCTGCGGAAAGACGTTGTTAAAATGGTGGATTTCAGGAAGGATCGAATTCCCTAATGACTTCTTATTGTTTCGAAAGCTTTTTGGACTTACAACGTGGTAATAGCTTTTTCATCTTATAGTTCCTCAAAACTCTTTGAGCGAAACATTATAAATTGTTGCTTAAAAGTGAGAAATTCAAAAAAATTCATCTCATCTAGAAAAATAGAGTATAATTGTTTTTTGAAGGCGTATTTGAGTGGCTAGTCATTTTAAATATGACTTACTTTTTTAAAGTTATTGACACTTATTTGTTTTTGATGGAGTGTCATTGCAAAATTGTTGTACAAGTAGATTTTTTTTGAGGATTTGACTTTTATAGGGATGTTTTGAGACAAATTTTGGACTTTACTACCTTTTACCACTTTTTTCTATACTTTTTTATTTTGTGTGCTTTCTTACTGCTTGGTCGGAAGGGTTACGTTTCTAATTCGCTTGCATTTGAAAATACCTGCATTTCGCTGTGATTTGATCTCTGTAATCTGTCTCAAAAAATTTTTTTGCTGAAGAAAAGATCAACTGCTTTTTGTAAGTGCTCTCTCTATACTGTACAAATAGCTGATGTAATCTTATCTTCTGTGGACCTAAGATTTGTCATTCCAGATATGTTTTTTGCGATCTGCTGCTGTTCTGTATTAATTTATTGCACTTGCCTTGTTCTTTATCTTGTCATCTTTCAATTAAAATGCTTTTAAGCAGCATATATTTGAGGCTTTTAAAATTGTTTTATTGTTTCTGCTTGAAATAAATGTTTTTGAGAAACAAATATTGCCAAAGTTCTATTTCACTTTCAAATATTATTTCTATCAATAATAATAATTTACTGTATGCTTATGCACGAAGTATCATGGTTTCTGGGGAACTAATTTGAGACTGTATCGTCCGCTCTCTTCCTCTAGTGGCTGAAAACATTTCTTGTTAAAAATACTTCTAAAAAGTTTTTGCTGTGAGCTAGAAAACCATGATTCTGGTCACAAGTCTTTACAGTAGTCTTTTGCACCATTAATATCGACAACTTCACTTACAGATGCCAAAATAAAATTTTAGGTTTTTAAATAAACATTTTTTAGCAAACAAAATTCACCGTCATTACACAACTGTCTACTAATCTCACAGTAACTACTGAATTTACAAACTACAATTTTCACAGAAGAAGATAAGTCACAGAAACTTGACTCGTGAGGCTTTTGAAGAAAAAACTGAATTTCTTTTCATTGAAGGGAAGAGGTGCATTTTCATCCCTCTGGAAAATTTCAAAACTGCATTTGTTTTATCAGCTACTTGCTTTTCCAATTCTAAGTTTTATAACAAATTAATCTAACACAAAATTTTTCAGCTGTCTAATTTAATTTTAATTTTAATTTATCGATTTCTGGTATTGCTGGATAACTTTTACACAGTTTTGGCCTTCGGCCGCTATCTAAAAACTTTATGAAAAAAAATTTGTCAGAGGAAAAATTTGACATCTCCATTACACAGTGCAAAAATTCTTTTCTCACTAAATTTTATATGAAACATCAGATTTTTCAGTGTAAATCACTTTTTAAAGACACATTGAAAAGCACTACCCAATTTACAACGGGGATGCTTTTAAAAATTTGGTCGTGTGTGACTGTTTGGCGTGAGACTTTGTAAAAATGCACCACACACGTTATTGCCGAAGTATTTGTAGATTGGTCGAGTAAACCGATCCTGCAGATTTTACTGACTTTACAAGTGGGTATTCAATCAGTTTATTGATACTTTATCTAAGGCCTTCATTTTCAAAAATTGAAACTACCTTTCCAGGTGACAAAGGCTAACTTTACATTGTACTAGGATTATCTACTGTACAGGGTACCTTATAAACAGGTTTAAATTTTTTCAAAATTACTTTTTTACACGAGAATGAAGCTTCTGCAATAATTTTTATTAGGCAACAAAAAATAATAACGCTACAGTTTGTTAAAATGTTCCAGTAAATTTTAGTTTGTCTGTCACAACCTGACAAAATCAAATCAATTTTTGCCGATTGACATATTTGTTAGCCTAAAATGATACTGAGGCGATTGAAAATGTGTGAGATTTTTGTTTCCAGACACCTTAAAATCTAGGGTGTTTTATAAAATAATTGTGCAGAACTTACGAAATATCCTGTAATGATTGATATTTGAAGGTTAAATCTATAAGTCTGAATTTTTAGGTGGTAACGGTCGTGGGACCCTTACGTATCACATTCATCTCGTTCAAAAAACGTGGTTTTCTAACACCAAAAAATATAACTTCGTTTTTGGAGGTTCCGGAAATGAAGTTTGCTTATAAATATGTATCGAACGTTGCAACAAGAAGTTTTTTCATATTTTTCCGGCATTCGTTTGGCTTTCATCTCTACGTCTTGTTTCTCTTTTATCCAATTTTTTGCCCTGAAAAATTTACTTAATTGATGTATAATAAATAGAAATGTATATATAAAAGTTGGTATCGTTTGCAAAAGTATTCTCTGGGTTGATGTCAATAGTGTTTTAAAGCTGATATAACGATTCATTAAGCGATTAAGCCTTGATTATATACTGTCGCAACTCTTTGTTTATTTATATAACTTTTGCCTGCAGGTTAGGAGAACGTTTCTTTACAATGCGGGAAGCAAGTAAATTTCCAGTTATAAAGAGGCGCCAGTTTTGAGGTACTTGTCTCCCTTGAAACGGTGAGACATGAAACTTGAATCAGCTGATTCTTCAAAATGTTTTGCTTTAATGAGTTAACATAAAATGATCTGATTAGTTTGCATCGAACTTTTTTCGGTAAGCATTCAGTTTAAACTATTTGCTCATTACAAAGTTCTGTGCTTGAAAATTTTTTTATTGAAAAATAGTTTGTAAGTACTCGAGTCAGTACTTTGACTGAAAAACAACTCGGTAAAAGCTATCATTCGCAGTTGTTATCATGTGGAAAGAGTACATCGAAGTAAATAGTTGTGATACGGCACAGTTGTCAACCGGAAGGCTTTTGAAGGACTTGAAATAGGGTAAATGGTTGTTACTACAGAAACGTAGAAAATTGTATTGCTGTAAGAAGAAAGGTACTGGGATCAAGACTCTATAAGGTTTCTGAGAAGGTCGAGTAAAGTAGTCAGCTGTCAAATTGAAAGTGCCTCAAGTAGTCAAAACAAACCTGTGATAACAAATCAAACCTATTAAACTAGTTTCTAAATGCACTGGAGGGAAATGTTTTGAAATGTTTTGATTGATGGAGTCGAGTCATGGTTAAATCACTTTGTTTTCCAAAGTGACTGTTTTCCTGACCATAATTCTTGTGAAGGCGGTAAACTCTTGATTCTCTTCTTCTTGTGGTTCTATGATATGATACTGTCCAGGCGGAAATGGAGTCAGAAGTTTTAAAACTACTCCCGCTCAAATCACAAATTAGATTTTGAGAAAAAGAGCGTGGGGGAAATACACTGTTGTGCTTTGTTTACTTCGTATCATCGTCAGTTTTTCTCAAAAAAAATTTCTTGAGTATTAGATGAAAGAATTAAGAAACAGTACTGGACTGGTTGGCCAGCTAAGTGAATTCGCAGAACAGGTCGATGGGCACAATTTAGAAAGTGAATAATCTGCAATACGGAATTAATTAATTCAAGCAGCAATGCAAATATCGGTTTTTGGCATCA